CGGAAGATGATGTCATGCCGGAGGCATTGCGTCGTTTTGAGGCAATGGTGGAAGAAGCAGCACGCAACGCTGAAGCCGCCTCTCAGAGCGCAGCGGCAGCAAAGAAATCAGAAACAGCAGCGGCATCGTCCAGGAACGCGGCGAAAACATCAGAGACGAATGCAGGTAACAGCGCGAAAGCGGCAGCTTCTTCAAAAACAGCCGCACAAAACGCAGCAACAGCGGCAGAACGTTCAGAGACAAATGCCCGTGCGTCAGAAGAAGCCTCCGCAGACAGTGAAGAGGCTTCCCGCCGTAATGCAGAGTCAGCCGCTGAAAATGCCGGAGTCGCCACCACAAAAGCGCGGGAGGCCGCAGCAGACGCAACAAAGGCCGGGCAGAAAAAGGATGAGGCTCTGTCGGCAGCGACACGAGCTGAAAAGGCGGCAGACCGCGCAGAATCCGCAGCGGAAGTGACTGCAGAGCCCTGTGCGAATATAGTGCCGCCGCTGCCTGATGTGTGGATACCGTTTAACGATTCGCTGGATATGATTACGGGTTTTTCGCCATCTTATAAAAAGATTGTTATTGGTGACGATGAAATAACAATGCCAGGCGACAAGATTGTTAAGTTTAAACGTGCTTCAACAGCAACGTATATTAATAAGTCCGGCCAACTCAAGCTTGCTGAAGTTGACGAACCGCGATTTGAGCGCGATGGCTTATTGATTGAAGGACAGAGGACAAATTATCTGAGGAACTCAAATAAACCAGACTCATGGACTGTTCATTCCGCACTGAATAAAACATTTGGCACTGATAAACAGGGGTTCAATTATGCCACGGTGACACCCACGGAAAGTATAGTGGGAACAACAGGTGGCTATACTGTGCATGGTGTGGTTGCAGCAGACAGATTCCCGCTGGCAAGTGGTGAATGTTTCACTTTTTCGTGCCGGGTTAAAGGCGCTAAAGCACGATGCAGGTTAAGAGTTTCAGTTATTATTGGTGGAACAGATACATTCTCTGCTGACTCTTATCTTGATCTGGATACCCGGATCGCAACAGTAAGCGGTAATACATCCCTTATAACAGCCAAAGCTGAACAACAGGGCGAGTGGACCTACTATGAGGCCACTTATACAGCTAATACGGACATTGATACCGTTAACTGTGCTTTTTATATGACAAATAAAATAAGTAATGAGCCATTCTATGATGACTCAACATTAACCATGACGACGCCGCAAATTGAACTGGGCAATACGGCATCGTCATTTATTGTAACTACAATGCCAACAACACGCGCAAGTGATGTGGTTACTATCCCCTCGGCGAATAACCTGTCAACACGGCCTTTTACAGTATTGTGCGAAGTAAGGAGGAACTGGAGTACACCGCCCAATGTTGCGCCAAGGATATTTGATGTTGGAGGGCACAGTATTGATGATAATTATTTATCGCTGGGGTTTGTTTCAACAGGAAAGATAAGCGCCAACGTAGGAATGGTTCAGCCACAAATTTCCTCAGATGGAGAAAGGTTCATTGTGGGTGTGAGAGCTAAATCTGATTTATCAGTAAATGCAATATGCAATGGTAATTATACAACAAACCTTAATGGTAAAATATTTGGAGTTACAGCAACATCGTACCGGTTTGGTGGGCAGACCGCAGCAGGAACGCGTCATTTGTTTGGACACATCAGAAATTTCAGAGTCTGGTTTAAAGAATTAAATGACAGGCAAATCAAGGAGGCAGTATGAAAGATTTAACTTTGAAATTTCCTGGTAACAGAGAGTTTAAATCCTTCCTGTCATCTCTTGACTGGGAGGAAGATGAAGACCTCCAGAATAAACTGTTAGTCGATGAAATTGGTTTCACCTACACAGAAACAGGGGTAACTGAAGAGGGAGAACCTGTCTGTATCCGGAATAACGGTTATTTTGTCAACATTCGCATTCTTGATGACTTGTTTGATGTTTCTGTATTCTCTGATTATGTCGTGGAGCTGGAAACACCGCTTCGGGAATGGAGCTGAAAGGAGGAAATAATGGATATAAGCCCCTTACTTCATGCACTTTGTGCTGTGGCTGCGCAGATACTGGTTGGTCTTTTTACCGGAAACTGGGCTTACGGAGCGATAGCCGGTTGTACGTTCTTCATTGCGCGTGAACATACCCAGGCAGAATATCGCTGGATTGAAATGTTCGGGCATGGCAAGCGAATGAATATGCCGTGGTGGGGCGGTTTTGATCCGCGCGCGTGGGATGTGGCAAGCCTGATGGATTTTGCTGTGCCGGTGGTGGCGTGTCTGCTGGTCTGGCTGTTGGTTAATCGTGGGTGAAAAAAGGTGGGCTGTATATGCAACGGAGGAAGAAACCTCGTTGCTGGAAGCATGGAAAAAGTATCGGGTATTGCTGAACCGTGTTGATACGTCAACTGCACAGGATATTGAATGGCCAGCACTGCCGTAGGG